TCCAGCATGTTAATGTGGTGCTCGGGGGGGCAGTTCATGTCGTCACTGCGATGCCATGAACGTCACGCAGTTGAGATCGCGGTTAGCTTTCGTAAGAGAGTGAGCCACCCCTGTCGCCTCCTGCTCTGCAACGGGCGCTCGGGCAGATCTGAGGGCTCCAGCGAGAGACAACCCGCCGCCTAAGGGCTCGCGGACCTCTCGCTCCTCCAATCGCTCCATCCAAGCTTCGGGTACTGGGAGTGATCCGTCTAATCAGATTGTAGCTCTCACGCTCGCTGACACCGGAGATCAGATGTCCTCCGCGGCATCGGAGGGTGGGCTTTCATTGTCCGACGATGATCCGGACCCGCTCACCCTCTCTGGGCAAGCGAACGTCGTCAAAACAGATCCTGAAGCGGACATGTTGGCCGTGCTTACTCGGGCTGCTTCTGCCGTCGGGTTGGAGATGGTTCATCCCCCAGCCCCGCGGCTGGACCGACTAGATGGGTGTTATGTAGAGGACCAAAAGGCGAAGCCTTCGAAGCCTCTCGTCCCCTTCTTCCCGGAAGTGCACAGTAGGCTCACGCATTCCTTGAGGGCACCTTTCTCTGCCCGCACTGCGTCCGCCTCCGCCCTCACCACCCTGGATGGTGGAGCTGCCAGGGGGTATGAGGCGATCTCGCTGGTGGAGGTAAATCTGCCTCCCTGGGAGCTAGAGCTTACAAGGCTGAGGGCCAGGCAGCTTCCGCCTTGCACGCGATGGCCACCTACCAGTGCTACCAAGCGCAGGCGCTGGCTGAGCTGCACGAGGGTGGGTCTAACCCAGGCTTGTTACACGAGCTGCGCACGGCGACCGACTATGCTCTCCGGACCACTAAGTCCGCTGCGTGCGCACTGGGGAAGACGATGTCCACACTTGTGGTCCAGGAACGCCACCTCTGGCTAAGCCTGGCAGACATGCGCGAGGTTGACAAAGTTCGCTTTCTTGACTCGCCCATATCCCAGGCTGGCCTGTTCGGCGACACTGTCTGTGAATTCACCCAGGAGTTCAAGGCGGTGAAGGAGCAGTCGGATGCGATGGGCAATGTCATCTATCGGCGGGGCCTTAAGCCCGCTCCATCCCTGGCCGAGCCATCCACCTCCGCTGCTCCTCGCCGGGGGTGAAGCGGGCGCGTCGAGCACGCCGAAAGCCGGTAGCCCCTCCTGCCCAGGGCACCGCTAAGTCCGGTAAACGGACCGCGAAGGGTCTCGCAGGGTCTGCATGCTCCGCCAGCGCCCCCTCTCAGGAGTCAGGGTGCGGAGCCAGAGCAAATCGCTCTCCTCCAGCTCTTCTGCGGGACCCTCGCGCTCCCCGGATCAGCACACCCGCTCCGCGCTGCCCCTCCGCGGGTACGTCAACGATTGTCGTGATGACGTCATTAGCGAGGGCTCTGCCTGCCTGGTTAGCGTGGGCTCCCAGCCCCTCGCAGTGGCTCATACGCACGATCAGACTCGGCTACGAACTACAGTTCTCGAAACGGCCTCCCAGGTTCACGGGCGTGTATTTCACCAGGGTCAATCCCCTGTCCGCCCCTGTCTTGCGAGAGGAGATTGCTGCCCTCCTGGCGAAGGGTGCAATCGAGCCGGTACCTCCAGCTGAGATGGAGAGCGGGTTTTACAGCCCGTACTTCATCGTACCCAAAAAGAGCGGTGGGTCACGGCCAATCCAAGATCTGCGCGTTTTGAATCGCTGCCTTCACAAGCTGTCGTTCAAAATGCTTACGCAGAGGCGCATCCTCGGATGCGTTCGTCCTCAGGATTGGTTTGCAGCCATAGACCTGAAGGACACGTATTTTCATGTCTCCATTCTTCCACTCCACCGTCAGTTTCTGCGGTTTGCGTTCGAAGGTCGTGCATGGCAGTACAAGGTCCTCGCCTTCGGGCTCTCTCTGTCTCCTGCGGCTCGCGGGCATCCGCGTACTCAATTATCTCGACGACTGGCTGATTTTAGCCCACTCTCGGGAGCAATTGACTGCGCACAGAGACGACAGCAAGTTAGTTTTCCCACTGAAATATTTTCAGAGGCTCCTGGGGCATATGGCTTCCGCTGCAGCTGTCGGATTGCTCCATATGAGACCACTTCAGCACTGGCCTCAAGATCAAGTTCCAAGACGCGCATGGCATGCGGGCACACACCGAGTCTCTGTTACTGCGCTGTGTCGCCGCACCCTCAGCCCCTGGAACGACCCCTCATTCCTGCAGGCCGGTGTGCCTCTGGGATAGGCGTCCAGTCATGTTGTTGTCTCAACAGATGCTTCCAGCACACGCTGGGGAGCCGTGTGTCGCGGGCATGCAGCTGCGGGCCTGGGGGTAGGTACCCAGCTGCATTGGCATATCAATCGCCAAGAGCTGTTGGCAGTGTTCCTTGCTTTCCGCCGTTTTTCTCCGGTGCTGGAGCAGCAACACCTGCTGGTCAGGACGGACAGTACGGCGGCGCAGCGTATATCAACCGCATGGGGGGTATGCGCTCTCGCCGCATGTCTCAGCTCGTCCGCCGTCTGCTCCTCTGGAGTCACCCGCGGCTGAAGTCGCTGCGCGCCATTCACATCCCAGGTATGCTCAACCGTGCAGCCGATGTGCTCTCACGGCAGCAGATTCACTCTGGAGAATGGAGACTCCACCCCGAGTCTGTCCAGCTGATATGGGCGCGATTCGGGGAGGCCCAGATCGATCTGTTTGCTTCCCCCGAGAACGCTCATTGCCAGTTGTTTTATTCCCTGACCGATGGCTCTCTCGGCACGGATGCACTGGCCCACAGCTGGCCTCGGGGCATACGCAAGTATGCGTTTCCCCTAGTGAGCCTGATCGCGCAGTTAATGTGCAAGGTCAGGGAGGACGAGGAACAGGTTCTGTTAGTTGCGCCCCTCTGGCCCAACCGGACCTGGATATCAGAGTGGTTGGCGGCACCGTGGGAAAGCATAACCTCATCATTCAGTTCCTCAGAGGCGCTAGGCGAATTAATCCAACTCGCCCCCCTCTCACACCCTCTTGGGATCTCGCCCTCGTTCTCACGAGCCTGCGATTTGATCCCTTCGAGCCACTCCATACAGTATCTTTAAGATTTCTGTCCCTGAAGACAGCTCTGCTGGTCGCGTTGGCCTTCATTAAGAGGGTCGGGGACCTGGAGGCATTTTCGGTCAGTGACTCGTGCCTGGAATTCGGGCCGGATTTTTCTCACGTTATCCTTAGACCCCACCCGGGTTATGTGCCCAAAGTTCCTACCACTCCCTTTAGAGATCAGGTAGTAACCCTGCAAGCGCTGCCCCTGGAGGAGGCAGACCCAGCCCTGTCCTTACTTTGTCCAGTTCACGCCCTGCGCATTTATGTGGACCGTACTCAGAACTTTAGATCTTCTGAGCAGCTCTTTGTGTGTTATGGCGGACGGCAGTAGGGAAGTGCCGTGTCTAAACAACGTTTATCCCACTGGATTGTGGAGGCCATTTCATGTGCTTATTTGAGCAGAGGTCAGCCATTCCCCCCGGGAGTGCGTGCGCACTCCACTCGGAGCATTGCATCCTCTTGGGCGTGTGCGCACGGCGCTTCTTTAACAGACATTTGTAGAGATGCGGGCTGGGCGACACCCAACACATTTGCAAGGTTTTATAATCTGCGAGTGGAGCCGGTTTCCTCAAGGGTGTTAGGGACCTTTGGTGATTGAGGAAACAACTCGGTAGGTGTTGTAGCATGCTTGTGGTGCCTTTTTTCCCGAACACGGAGAGATGTGCACCCTCCTGTCTGTCAGTAAAGTTCCCCATTCGGTGAGCCCTGCAGATTCCTCCGAGGCCCCCAGCACTGTCTCAGCGGAGGAGTCACTTGCTGGCCCACTACGTTGTAGGTCTGCCCGCTGGTCAGTCCGTGTTTTGGGTATAGGTGCCTGCTATGACTGATCCCCGCTGGTGATCCCCATATGCTTTTCCACCACGGTTAAGTTCCCCCCCCCTGGGTGGACCCGTGCTTTCCCTATCTGCTAACCACCTTCTTATGCGCACTCCTCCTTCTCAGGGTTAGTCCATATCTAATTCCATTTGTTTCCCTATTGGGTGCGGATGGTCTCCACAGCGTCCTCCCTACTGGGATGGCATGCTTCCCAACGTACTGTTGTATATTCCTAGAATTATCTAGACGCTAGCAACTCCCAAAAAAATATACCTATTCCGTAAAGCTTCTTTTGAAGTGGGATAAGTTAGGGCCAAGGGCACGTTGGAGGACCGCGCCTCTCATGATCTGGGTGCGTCACGCTTGCCTGACTGCCCTCTCATGATGGGTGTTGGTAAGGTGCAGTCATTATGGCGCTTTCAATGGGCTCCCATACGTGGATTTAGAACATCAAATCCACTTAGTGCTGGAGTTTCCCCCGAAGGGGAACGTTCGAGGTTACTAAAGTAACCCTTCGTTCCCCAAGGAGGGGAACGGAAGCACTATACTCCGTCGCCATAATGACTGTCCCTTAGCTGTTAAAAGTCTCTTCAGCTTAAAAAGGATAGCGTCTGCTGGCGCCAGGTGTGCTTATATGCTCAGTAAATTGGCTATGCAGTACACCTGCGCAGGCTTGCGCTGCCAATTCATTGCTTTCATTGGCCTGTTCAATACTCTTTCAGACGAGCGGCTTCTGAACCGAATCCTCCCATACGTGGATTTAGAACATCAAATCCACTTATAGTGCTTCCGTTCCCCTCCTCGGGGAACGAAGGGTTACTTTAGTAACCTCGAACGTTTCCAGTGTCTTTTCACTTTTCAGCTTTTGATGAGAGTTTTAAGACTTAATGAAAACTAATGTTTTATTTATTTCAGACCTAATTGAAGAGAATGAGGGGAGTAAAGAGGAGAAACATCATGTCAAAATTGAGGAAAAAACTCATTTACAGACTGATGGTGTTTTAAAAAGGAGAAACAAGAATCGTTTCACCTGCACTCAGTGTGGAAAGAGTTTGGCAAGCAAATGCAAACTTATGATTCACATGATGATCCACACTGGAGAGAAACCATTCACATGCACTCAATGTGGGAAGAGTTTCAACCAATCATCAAACCTTAATCACCACATGATGATCCACACTGGAGCTAAACCATTCACATGCACTCAGTGTGGGAAGAGTTTCAACAGATCATCACACCTTAATTATCACATGAGGATCCACACTGGAGAGAAACCATTCACATGCACTCAGTGTGGGAAGAGTTTCAACCAATCATCAAACCTTAATCACCACATGAGGATCCACACTGGAGCTAAACCATTCACATGCACTCAGTGTGGGAAGAGTTTCAACAGATTATCACACCTTAATTATCACATGATGATCCACACTGGAGAGAAACCATTTACATGCACTCAGTGTGGGAAGACTTTTAACTGCTCATCGCACCTTAATCAACACATGAAGATCCACACTGGAGAGAAACCATTCACATGCACTCAGTGCGGGAAGAGTTTCATCCAGTCATCATCCCTTAATCAACACATGAGGGTCCACACTGGAGAGAAACCATTCACATGCACTCATTGTGGAAAAAGTTTTAACTGCTCATCACACCTTAATCAACACATAAAGATCCACACTGGAGAGAAACCATTCACATGCACTCAGTGCGGGAAGAGTTTCATCCAATCATCATCCTTTAATTATCACATGATGATCCACACTGGAGAGAAACCATTCACATGCACTCAGTGTGGGGAGAGTTTTAGCAAATCATCATTCTTTTATAAACACGTTGAAGGAACTCATGGGCATATTGCAGTGGTCAACACGAGTTGAATCTGAAATCTTGGGCATCTGCAAATTGTCTCAGTCATTGATCTGGCTTAAGGGCTTAAACCATCACGATAACAAAGCACCAATTGATTTTGGGTTATTCTGACCAATACTTTGGCCGCAAATGTTCCAGGTACCCTTCAGCAAAATTAGTAAATGATTTAAACTAAATAAAGGGGCTTTACAGGATTTTCAGCAGAAACCGCCTCACGAGACTTTTGAATGACTCCTCTACATGGTCATGTGCTTTGGGCACATCCTGTCAGATGCACAATTTTGTAGAGACAAAAAATCTCTAGAAACATTATGCATACAAATGAAAGACAATCTCTTAAAATGTTAGAACTAAGGCAGATGTATCTTTAAATAATAAACCATAATGTTCCTCATATGCTGTGGTTATTTCAACCAACCAGGTTAATCAATGTGTTGTTTTAACCCTTAAAGCAGAATAAATTGATCTGTATTTGTCTGAAATGTATGATATCTGGTCTTGAATGAAAGGTAGTGACATTTGCAATCTGTTGATGTAAGGCTGGGCGATTTTTCAAAATTTTTTTCCGATTAATTCGAATTTACGTTTTCAGACGATTTAATTTTGAATCAAATTGAGAAATTGCGATTTTAAAAATATATATATATATATTTAATACATTATAATGGCACCAATGCGCTTTGGTTCACTCTGTATGAAGCTGGAAGCACACCAGAAGCGCCTCTCGGTGACTCGCCGCACCACGATTCAGGACGCAGGTCATATTTCAGCCGCGCCACAGAGCGCCATCTGATTAGTTTCATGTTAAATATTATGCGAATGTGCGCGTCTGGGGTGTGATACTTTAAACTGTCATGTGTCGCGGTGCTTCTGGTGTCCGACCTGCTTGACTTTCTGTTAAAACGTGATGTCATGTAGGATTTTACTTGTTGCATTAGTCTGAGTCACGTCTGTGTGTATTGTCAAGACATATTACCTTATCAAGTCGATAAACTAGATCTCAACATGTTTGAAGGATGTAAAAGCCTGCCATGTGAAAAACTGCGCCGATCTTTTGGTTTGAACACAAGCAGAGGTGAGGGCCAGTAAAACATGCAAAAAATCCCTTTGTATTCCTGCAAGTGCAATATTTACACAAATATTTCTTATTTAAATCGTCAGCAACGCTATTTAACTCGTTAATTTGTTTAACATTTACTTACACCTTGACCGATTTTTGTATGACATGGCCATTAAAAATACAATGTTCCTTAACCAGATGGTTAAAGTTACTTTTAAAGAGAGTGTTACTTCAGTCATGTTGTTGTAATGTTTTGAGAAGACTAGTAACACAATAAAAAAAAAAAATCGAAATCGTGAATCGGTCAAACTTTATAAAAAAACCTAGATTTTTTTTTTTTGCCAAATCGCCCAGCCCTATGTTGGTGTAAATGAGAACTAGTAGTACAAACAGTATTTGTCTTGTAACATTTGATGTAAGATAGTTTCAATCTTGCAAGAGTTTTACCATGTAAAATCTACATGCAGTCTGTTAATGATTGACCCTTTCTACGTGGGCACGGGGTGTGGCCCCGCCCTTCATGGCAACTGCTCATTGGCAGACAGTGCCATAGGGATGGATCAGACCAGGTCACTTAAAAACGCCCTGCAACAAAGAAACTTTGCTTTGAAACCGCACGAACTTCTGCAAACCGACTTTCAGCAGTCCGTCACCTCAGTAACCCAGAACTACCCACCCACGAGCGGGGGAATTCCAAGGACGTCACAGAAGCCACCAGCCAATCAGGAGCACCGTGTTTCCCCAAGGCCAGCTGGCGAGGGAGATTCATCTTCAGCAAAAGTGCAAGTAACAAAAAAACGTTGTCTCTTACTGATCTGGGGCAGATAGATCGTAAACAGTTAAAGATAAGCCATATCTCTGCTTTTGTGGTTTCTCATGTGTTATTCTAAGATCTTGTTAGAGGTATTAGAATTAATTTAGGATGGTTGTCAAATCATTTTATATCCTCTAACCTGCCTCTGTGTGTGCGAGTTTGTTGTTTGCTTATTACGTAGTTAGTTTCATGTATCGTAGTGTAGCTCAATAAATCTTTTTTTCTCATTTTGTAAGAACTGTGTTCTTGTTTATGTGTTTTTAAGTCATTCCCTCGAGCTGTAGATCTTGTTACCTTGCTAAAAGTTAACTCAATACTGTGTTATGTTATTATCGTTGGCCACGTAAGTAATATTAACAAGGTTGGTAAGATACGATGACTTCTATTTGCAGGACAAATGGTAGATAAAGTGTGAATCTTTTAACCTGATTCAGTCTGACTCAATTCAGTCAAATCAATGATTCAAATCTTTAAGATCCGGTACATTGAAATAAGCTAATAAACCCTGATCGATCTTAAAATGTTGGTTGATTCCCTAAAACACGATGAGCCGTACTGTAGAGAAACCATTCACTTGCACTTAAGCCACGGTCACACTGGACTTTTTCCCCCATAGATTTCCATTCATACGCACGCGAATGCGTCAGACCGGAAATGCAAGTTCGTGCAGTTTTGCAGTTCACTGCATTGTAAAGTTCAAGCTTGGTGAACTCTGACCTGCGAAATCACATCACTTGATAGTGTGAGACCTATCGAAGATCAAAACATGACTTCTCTGGACAGAAATGTAAAATATGGACCAAACGCTCTCCTTTTTAATGTCTAAAAATCTTGTTTAATCCCGCCCCTTTTTGCAGTGCCGTACAACAGAATTTTCCATGCTCAAACTCTAATGTGACCGCAGCTTCGGTGTGGAAAGAGTTTCAGCAACTCCTCAGACCTTAATAAACGCATGAAGACCCACACTGGAGAGAAACAATTGACATGCACTCAGTGTGGGAAGAGTTTCAACGAATCAGCAAACCTTAATGACCACATGCAGATCCACACTGGTGTGAAAGAGTATATGTGCTTTGAGTGTGAGAAGACTTTTATTACAGCTCTAAAATTTAAACTGCACCAGACGATTCACACTGCAGAGACTGTATAAATGTTCACAATGTGACAAGAGATTTAATCGGTTAACACATCTGAAAACACAATAGAGGATGCATACAGGAGAGAAACCGTACAGATCTGATCAATGTCTACAGAGTTTCGCTCATTCGATGCAGCTTAAGAGATGTTTCATAAACTAATTTCGAGAGGAGCACATGATATGATTGAGCACTGCTGGCCACACATCCTTAATCAGTAATAATCCAATCAGAGTGATCCTAGCTTAATATAAACGGATCACTTTCTCCTTATTGCTCTATCTTCGTTTTGGAAGAATGCTTCCCACTACAAACGCTCCAGCATTTAACCTATGCTTCAGCATCATTTAACCTTCCGACATGAAAAACAAACAAACAACAACTCCTCCAGCCAGAACCCCCCTCTCCTCAAAACTTCACCCGATGCCTCGCCTGCAATCGAGCCTGAATCCCCGCAAGACGCTGGCACATCAGGGGCCTCATGTACGAAGACTTGCGTGGAAATCATACTAAAACATTGCGTACGCACAAAGCTGAAATGTGTACATTTTTCAGAAGTATGAAATTCAGATGTATGAAACACTGCGTACGCTAAATCCCACGCATATTCTTTTGTACATCCAAATGAACGTAAAACTGAGTGCAACATGCACGAGCGCAAAACCCCTCCCTGCCTCCTGAATATGCTAATGACTCTACTTTGGCAAAACCAAAGGAAAAAGCAATGGCAAAAGCATGCGAAAAGAGAAACTTTGAACAGAATGTGAATTAGAGGTGTCCTTTCGGAGGTAGACCAGAGAAAAACGGTGTTATTTGGTGTTATTTGTTTGTCCACCGGAATTAATAACAAAAGAAAAAAAAAATTGAGTGGGAGAGTTTAGCTGATGCGGTTAACACAGTTGGGTCTGAACATCGCACTGAGTGTAGTAAACAGGAAAAAGTGTGATTTATATGTGTAAAATGTTGCAGTACTCCTAACAGTCTCTGTGGCGCAGCTCGTAAAATGCAAGAGCATGAAATCGGTTCGAATCCAGCGTCTGATTAACTCATTTTCCTTCTTTTCCCCCACTGCATATCAGATTTTGCCTACTATTTATCACGAAGAAGACAAGTAGGAATCATTAATAAGTGTGCATCATATTTTATTTGCACATTTACTGAATGGAAATGTTTCTGATTCACATATGCAAATTCATCTTCAGCCCACACCCTTAATGCCATATTCACTCTAGACTTTGGTTTTGAGATGTTCTGAGCTAACATCAAAATTTCATCCAACATTATACCACAGCATAGCTGATCTAACTTTGCAGGATGAAAAACTCCCCCCCCCCCCCCCCCCCCTCACCGCCCCACCACCACCACCAAACACACACACACACACAACCATTTCAAACCCTCTTAGCTTCTTATACCTCAAGAGAGTAAAACCTTATCAGGGAAGCCCAGCTGATCCTCACCAGCAGACCTCCACCTGCATGCATTTCTAGGCCTCTTTCCCTCTTTTCTTCCTTTAATTTTCCCTCCAAACTCCAATTGTTCCTTACTTCCATTCACTCTTATTTACCAGCTCTGACACATTTAGGGGTCACTCAAATTTCAATTGCCGTAGCAGCAATGCTCTAATCAAGCTCATATATAAGCTTCCTATACCAGTATCATCACACTCCCCTGCATAAATACAGCAGCATATGCTTATGCAGGAGCACACATTGCCTCCACACGGACCCACT